TTTCTTAATCTATTTGAATTAGTTATTAGTTCTTATATTAAAAAACTGAATAATATAAAATATTTATAATAATTGTGAAGCTTGCACCCATGGACGGGAATATATTTTGGCCTTGTTGAGGGGGATCTAGACATTTGGGACCTTAATGAGAAAGACTTTTAGTCAGCTCATAACTCGATAATATAATAACCATAAAGCTTATGTTCAAAAAAATTTTTCCCTGGTCAAAAAAATTTATTTCCATTCATTTTTTCTTCACAACAAAAGTCAAAGTCTTCCCTCTGAAACTAAAAGGAGCAAAGCTCCTGTGGAAAATTTGCTAAGTAATGACAACTGCCTTGTTTTCCCCTACCAGCCCAATCCGTTTTTCGCCCCAATAATTGATTTTAATTGTTATAGAAAAATATTTAAAACTTTGATATATCAATGTAAATTAAACAACAAGCTTGAGTGTCGGTTACAACTCGAAATAGGCATGTATCAATATTTCTGGTCCATCCACATGCAATTAATTCATAGTGAGACATAGAGATATTGTAAATGTAAACTTGTTATAAAATTCATATTTTACATTGATGGGAGTGGTTTTGATACTTGAAAATAAGTTGGTTTGATTTAAACATCTCAAGAAATTGCTGGAAATAGCTAGTGAGTTGTTATCAATCCTTTCTGTGATACCTTTTCTTTGCTCTAATTTCTTCGGTAAACTCTTTAAGGGTCTCCCTTATAAAACCAATAATTGGACAAAGATATTTAATTTCTTGATGACAAGTACTATTTTTTTTCCAATGATTTTTTCCGTTTTTCTTGAATCCATTTTGTTTCATTTCTTGCATCAAGGTCTCATAGAAAATTTTTTATTCTCCATAAATATTTTCTTATAGTAGTTGAATGGAGCTTTCCACAAATCTGCATCACTTTGAAATTAGAGCATAGATGATAGTCAGTCCTGAAGCTTGTGACGGATACTTTTGTTTGACATGTGGAAATTAAATTAGAGTGAAAATGGTGGTTCATTATCGAATGTTCACCATGGAGATTCGGCCATTCTTTTTTATGGATCAGATTATACTTTTCTTTGCCATTTTTCCCTACAAGTTTTCCTGAAAGAGGATGGGTTTGATTGACAAGAAACCATCAATTTAAAATATACAATAGTTAAACAAGAAGTTTGGTACACAATTAATAGTCCAAATGTCCTTTTCTTTTTATAATCTATGTAAGCCATTTATATCAACATAATCCGTGAAGCTATGAGGAGAATCTTATGTTGAAAATAAAAATTTAGCCATCACAAAAACATGGTTATAATAAGATAAAGATTTAAAATTAAAAAATGGAATCATCTAACTCACTACGCTAAGTATTAATATTAAGACGCATCTAATTTAAATAATCTAATATTGGAAATAACCACAATATTATTACTTGTAATTAGGACTTGCGATTTGATACAACGATTGCAGTTACGCGCGACAGCAGAATGTGTGTGTGTGTGTATGAAAACCGCAAAATGGGTGCTAAAAATAAGAAGGGAATTTTTTAGTAATTTAAAATCTTTTAAAATGTTTAGATTTAAGATCATATTTACATAGTTTTGAAATGCCATCAATAAATTAAACGAGTTTTTTTTTTTGGGGGCTCCTCTATTAAATGATGAATTCCACCTTTCAATTGCGAGTGTTTTGTGTGCAAGAATGTTTTGTTAGAAAAGAGAGCATTTTTGTCCAAGCAAAGTAATATCTTACAAGAGCACACTATCAGACACCAACAAAAATGCTCAATATTATGGACTCCGAAAACATTGTGCATTCATTTTTGAATTTTTATCTTTTTTTCCAAAAAAAAAGAGGTTCTTGAAATAACGCGTTCTCGGCACATCTACTCTGACTTCTCTTCATCAGAAAGTGTACCAGTGATCCATCAAAATACAACCCCACAATGAACTCTATAAAAATTCTATGTACCACCCACATTTTACTCCTCACAACATCTCATGAGCAGAGAAAAATAAACAAAAAGAAACTATAGTTATCCAAGAACTGTGTGTTTTAATCCTCTCTAGTTGTTTCACTTTTGAACTTGTATTAAAGCTATTTCATCACTGTGATGGCTTGTGTGTTCAATTTTTTGTATGCATTATTGACATTGCTATTGTTGCTGCATACAAGACTCAGTTTAGCCACTAATGGTGAAGCACTGAAGAAGTGCATCAAGAAGGAGAGGAAAGCTCTTCTGTTGTTCAAACAAGGCATCTATGTTGACTATGGCATGCTATCCACATGGGGGGATGGAGATGATGAAGATTGTTGCAGCTAGAAAGGAGTTCGTTGCAGCAACCAAACAGGTCATGTTCAAATTCCTAACCTTCATAGTTCCAATCCACCCTTTTTGAGAGGTAAAATTAATATTGCTTTGTTGAGTGAGTTGCATGAACTGAAACATTTGGATCTCAGTAACAATCATTTATATCAAAGTGACATCCCTCAGTCCATAGAGTCATTCACCAACTTAGGGTATCTCAACCTCTCTTATTCTCTTTTAGTTGGGAGCATTCCCAGTCAACTAGAAAAGCTTTCAAACTTACAATATGTTGATCTGAGTAACAATTACTTGGATGGAGCTATCCCTTGGCAAATCGGAAATTTTTCCAAGTTGCAGTCTCTTCATCTTAGACGAAATAATCTTGTTGGAGTGATTCCTTATCAACTTGGTAATCTTTCCAAGCTCCATACTTTGTGACTCGGTGGTGATGGTTCTAACCTCATAGTAGCTGACAGAAAAAATGGTGATGCAGAGTGGATATCAAAGCTCTCTTTATTAACAAATCTTGAGTTGAGTTATGTGAGTAATGTTGGCAATTTTCATATGTGGCTGCACATGATTGGCAAACTTGTGCCGAAACTAACAGAATTGAGACTGAGAGGATGTGGCATTTCTCATGCCCACAACCTTCTTCGGTCTTCTTCTCCTTCTAACTATTCTTCTTCTCTTGTCACCCTTGATCTCTCTTCTAATAACTTGAGCTCATCATTGTTTCAATGGCGCTTCAACTTCAGCTCTAGCCTTCAACACCTTTATTTACAAAATTACAGTCTTCTATCTCATAATCTCTACTTCCTATCTTCTTATTTCCATTTTCCTTCCCTCATTTTTCTTGATCTCTCTTATAATAACTTGACGTCAGTAATGACGTTGAACTTTGGCTCAAATCTTCAATCACTTTATTTACGCAATTGTAGCCTCACATCAAATAATCTTATCTTCACATCCTTCAATCCTAACCTTTCCTCTCTTCTCTTTCTCGATCTCTCTGACAATCAGTTGACATCATCAACCATATTCTATTGGATTTCCAACTTCACCTTCAATCTTCATGAACTGGATCTCAGTTGTAACTTGCTTAATGGTTTCATTCTAGATGGTATTGGAAACATAATGAAGTCTCTTGAAGATCTTGATCTCTTCTATAGTCATTTACAAGATGAAGTCCCAACATCACTAGGGAGTATATGCACATTGAAGAGCCTAACACTTGGCTATAATAACATTAGTGGGGACCTTCAGAGATTCATTTCTAATACATCATGGTGTGATACACATTCATTGCAAACGTTAGATTTAGCAAGAAATCAATTGACGGGCATGTTACCTAATCTTTCGGGTTTTTCCTTTTTGCAAAATCTGTATCTCTATGACAACCAATTAGAAGGAACAATACCTGAAAGCATTGGATTGATGTCTCAATTGAAAAGTCTGCTTTTGGGTGGGAATAATTTGGGAGGTCTAATCACCGAATCACATTTCAAAAATCTTTCTAATTTGTTGGTCATATCATTGTCTCACAACCCACTAAGCTTGGAAATTAGCACAAGTTGGATTCCCCCTTTTCAGTTACTATCTATGCAAATGGCTTCTTGCATGATAGGTCTTAATTTTCCAATTTGGCTTCGTAATCAACATCAATTATTTTCCTTGGATATCTCTGATGGCGGGCTTTCAGGTTCTGTGCCAGAATGGTTTTTGCCAAGGTCAAAAAACATATACTACATGAACATCTCATTCAACAATTTTTCTAGTGAAATCTCAAATTTACCACTTAAATTCAACTATCAGCCAATAATTATTGTGAATTCAAATAACTTTAAAGGTGCAATTCCATCATTTCTTGGGCAAGCATCAGAACTTCATCTTTCTGAAAATAAATTCTCAAATTTGAATGCACTTGTCTGTGGGCAAATAGAGGATGGCGGCATTGTCATTTTAGACCTATCAAACAATCTATTAAATGGGTGCCTACCTAATTGTTGGAGCCAACAAAATACATTGGAGTTTGTTGATTTCAACAATAATTTATCGGGAGAGATCCCATCTTCTTTAGGACTCCTTATGAATATGGAGGCTTTGATTTTAAGAAACAATTGTTTGACTGGAGAACTTCCTTTCTCTTTGGTGTATTGCTCCAAGTTATTATTGTTGGATGTGTCAGAGAACAAGTTGTTTGGTTCAATACCTTCATGGATTGGGTAGAGCCTTTCACAGTTAGAAGTTCTAAGCTTATAGATAAACCATTTGAATGGTAGTTTACCTATACAACTTGTCACTTAACACAGATTCAGCTCTTGGATCTCTCTCATAATATGTTATCAAATGAAATTCCATCTTGTCTTCAAAATCTTGTTGTTATGGCACAAAAGGATGTCAACCTAACTGATAGTGGCCATAAATATACAATCAATAGGACAATCATTCCCAATTTCAAGCAATATTCTTTTGAATTCTATATAAGATTAGCGTGGAAAGGTCAGGATCAGGTGTTTAAAAGGCCAGAATTTTTTCTTAAAAGCATTGATCTCTCTAGTAATGCTTTAATAGGAGAAATACCAAATCAACTTGTCTCTTTGTTGGGATTGATTTCCTTAAATCTATCAAGAAACCAGCTAAGTGGAGAGATACCCATAAATATTGGGAATCTAGAATCATTAGAATTTCTTGATCTGTCAAACAATAAATTATTAGGCCCAATTCCTCCAAGCCTTGCTAATATTGATCGCCTCAGTGTATTAGATTTGTCAAACAATCATCTCTATGGAAAAACCCAATGGGAACACAGTTGCAAAGCTTTAATGCCTCCTCTTTTGAAGAAAACCTTGATCTTCGTGGATTGCCACTCAACAAGATGTGCGCAGAAGATAATATGCCTTCACCTCAAGAAGCCAATCATGATAAAGAAGAAGAGGCCTCATTGTTCTCTCAAGAATTTTACTTGAGCATGGGATTGGGTTTTGTTGTTGGATTCTGGGCCTTTGTAGGACCGTTGCTTTTCAACCGAACTTGGAGACAAGCCTACTATAGGTTTATGAACACAGTAACAGATAAAATCCATGTCATGGTTGAAGTTTATGTGGTTAAATACCTCACTATCAGAGACTAGCAACAAGGTAATGATTTGTACTTTTCTCTTGCTGTTCTTTCTCTCATTCAACTCTTACTTACGATAACTATGTGATGGTAAATTACTAGAGTATATGTTAAATTAGACAAACATTTTAATTTAGTAATGATGTTCAAATAAAAATCAAAATTGGACGTTGTATAAGTATCAGGCTTTTAACTAACTTATGAGAAAACTAAGATAATAAAAATCAATCTTATCTATGGAATTACTTGGGAATGCTTAACATGTTACTCTGTTTTTTATAGGATCTGATTCTCTTGCAGTTTGGCATTGAATGTAGTTCTGATCCAAGTAATGATGGTTTGTTGCACAAATTTATGTTATGATTTGAAATTTATTGTACTTATAATAATGTTCTCTACTAGCATTTTATCGAACTGGTTATGTTTTGCTTACTGTCCTTTAAATATTTTGTGTTGCATGTTAACTGGGGATATATATATAACTCTAGCATAATATATAACTCTAGCATAACATTATAAGTTTTGAAATGATATTTCTTTTGAATTATCTATCTATTGGCTTTGTATTGATATGGTTATGTGGAGCTATTGATCAAATGATTCTGCTGAAGAACAAAATCAGAGGTCCATAATTTCATGAAGTAGAACTTACACATTGGCTTGATTGAGTTGTGGCAAAGAATTGAGGACAGATATCTTTGATCAGTTAACAAATCGGTGCATCCAAAGGAAGGTCTTGTCCAATAATTTAAACAATTTTTGAGGGACAAAGACCCTAAAATATGAAGTTGAACATTTCAAAGCTATTATGTTTTAATTTGTAGATTGTTTTGCGTGAGTTTTCTTTTGTATTTGAGACACTCTTCCTCTACCTAAACCGCATAATATTGAGAGAAAAGTTGTAAAACTGGGATCTAGACATGTTAGAGAGCCTTGTATTTTTAGCTTTAGGCAGCTTATAGAAAACAAAAATAAAAAGTGACATGGATAAACAGAGTCTATGTTTGGATTGCTTTGTACGTTATAATAATTACCTGCTATGATAAAGATCCCTTGCTTTGTGCTTGGAGACTAGACGTAGGACATATTGGTCTGAACCAAGATAATGATCGTGTGCTTTCTCTGTCTCTTCACTTGTTTTATTTGTTATCTTTTTAAATTATATTCAAGAATAACCTCATATTTCATATAAATTTCACCACACAGTCATAGAAACTTAAAAAAAATATTTTTGCGTCATAATTAAACTTTTTTTTTCTTAGATTTCTAGGTTAACACAACTCAAGAGATGATGCTCTAATACATGTTCTTTAAGAATATTCCCCAAAAATACATAAGTTCGACTCTTAAGTATAAATAACTTCATAAAGCAATTATTAATTTTAAAAAGTAGTTTCACTTTTCTTAACATTTGTAATTCATGTGAACTCAAAAAATAGCTTTTTTTATTAAAAAAAAGTTCAACACTAATACTGCAATCAAAGAGATTTAGTGGAATTATACTCCAATCCACATTCACACCTAGTAACCCCGAATCCTATGATATAAGCATTGATTCTAATATAATACGGTCATCATCAATATATCAAAAAACAAAATTTATGACAAGTTTTGTTGTTCACATTCATTCACGAAATATTAAATAGCATTAATTAAACAATTTTTTTTTTCGTATGAGCAATTTGAAACATTTTCTCAGGCTACTTTGAGTTATAAAATCCACGCCTCAAGGCGTCATTGACCTAATTTAATAACAACTAAGCTTGTGCGCGCGCGCGCGGTGCTTTTATACGGGAAAAGAAAAGGATGGAACCCACAAACATGGAAAAGCTTATGATTGTGTGGTTCTCCAGACAATTTTGGCTTCTTCTCAGCAAAGCAAGTCTTTGGAGTTTCAGAATTGGAAGTCCAACACCTTACACTTACATAAACATTTAAAATAGTACACTTCTTATCTTTAATACAAATATAAGAATTAGATAATCAATTTGTGAATATTAAGAAAACTAGTTAAGCTAAGTTAATTATTTCTAATAAATAAATATTATTTTTAAAAAATATTTTATTAATCATATACATTAAAATGAAAACTATTTAGCATATGTAATTTAAAAAAATAAATATAACAAAATGAAATGAATAAAATTTTTACATTTAAAATCAGAGGTAGAGTATTATATTGTACTTGTCTGGTCCTTAATATATGACCTAATTGTTATGTTGATTTTGGTCCTAAATATAAGATATATTTCTCATATTTATCAATTTGTCCTAAATTATCCCTATGGATACTCCTTCAACCATAATCAAGTAAAAGAAACAAAGAGGATATTAAGAAAGATGATTATGATATTTTAGAAAAAATATATCATATTTCTTATAATTAACTAATTTACATAATTTCTTTAATCTAATCAAATTAGTTAAATAAGTCTTATATTAAGGATTAGAAGAATATCATTTTTTTTCAAGCTGATTGCATCATTCTAAACTTATCTTTTTCTCCTGTGTCGAGAATTGTGGTCACCCCCCCCCCCAAAAATATCGCACCAAATCCTCCGTGTCATTATTATTATTATTATTATTATTATTATTATTATTATTATATATTATTATTTCCTTCATTATTTTTGAGAAAATCGCATATAGGAACCGATTCACAAAATTTGTTATCATTTATTTATTAATTATTGTCAAAATCAATACTAATATTATAATGGATTCTTGTTTACAATTTTTCTATTTTTAAGGTATTTTTTTGGCTATTTTTCCTTATTTTTTCCCAACGATTTTCTTCATTATTATTTACTTATATTCGTAACCCATTTTTCCTGGAAATACCCTCTTTATTTTATATTACACGCCTTTTTTAACTTTCATATCTGGATTTTTTTGGGGACAAAAATGCGTATTTATTGATTAACTTACCCATTTTGGACCTCATATTTTCATCTATTTATACAATATTCACTTTCATGTGATTAAATTTCTTTCCTCATTTTAATAATAATAATAATGATAACATTGTAAATAAAGCGTAGCTAACTATTTCCCAACGAAAAGATATGAATGGTTGGATAAGCTTGAAAGGGACTTGAGGTATTATTTAATTTAATAAATTTAGAGTGAAGAAAAAGCTATTGGCTGGGAGGAAGAATTATGGTTTATTATGCATAGTATTTAACTAATTTGAAACGATATTGTTTTCACTATTAGTTTCAGTTACTTTCGCCCATTTCAACTTATTTTTTGTTTAAATTTTGGCTACTTTTATCCGTTATTGTGATGGAAAAATATTTTGATTTTTAAATGGGGATAGAAAAGGCTGCTCCAAAATAAATCTTACTCATTAATCATCCAAACGTACTTTTGTCAAACATGGAGGCCAAAGTAGAACTATAAAGTGATTGTCTTTCTATACTGTCCTTTGTTTTAATGCCCATATCTTCAAAGCAAGAAAACAATAAGATTATTTTTTTCATCTTATTTTTTTTATTAAAGAGAGGAAAATACATAAAAATCGATTATATATATAAATCTAACTAAATATATCCCAAAATATATGCTTATTTCAGTATAAAATACGTATTAATAATTATGGAGCTTGACCCATGGACAGAAGAATATATTTTGCCTTGTTTTGAGGGAGATGTCGGCATTGCGGGCCAAAACGACGAAGACTTTAGTTGACCTGGAATTCTATAATTTAATGCCCATAGAGCTTATGTTCAAATAATTTTGAGTAAAATACTCTAACATCCTTCTATTTATTTAAATTAAAAATATTCTCTTTATTTAAAAAATATATATAAATCTCTTTTCAAATTAAAATACATGTTACACAAATCTTCTTTGTATGGTTAAGATTTTATTTTCATCCATCTAATTGTTAAATAACCATTAAATTTGACTTTTAAAATTTTATTTTAACCAAAACACCCCTCATTAACAGAAAAGTTATTTAAACATTTATATTTGTCAAAAGAGTAATTTTTGATATAACAAAAAACAATTTTAGTACATGTATTTTCAAATTCTTAAATATGCAATAAAATTTGTTAATTTTGATTATATTATTAAATTTTATAATTTTAATTTTCCATTTCATAATGAAATATATTTATCTAGATTTTTTTAAATGACTGGAAAATATATTAAATAAATATTTTTTCATTGTATAATATAAATTGTTTAAGTTTGAGAGACTATAGAAATCATTTAAATTTATAATTTAAAATTTTAAAAATAAAAATTTCGTTGGAAACATTTATGACGTATTTAATCTATTATATCTATTTAAAGAATTTATCAAATTTTCATTCAAGGTTTTTATGTCTACATTAAATAGATAAATTGATATTCCATCCCAATTTGATAAAAATACTAAAAAATAAAATTAAGGAAAAAATTTTAAATTCCTCAACTTTTTAGCCACAATTTAGAGATTTAGTGTTATGAAGGGTAAATTAGTAAATAAAAAGTATCTTATTATACATTTTAATTAAAAAAGTATCTTTCTAAAATATTCTTATCGGACTTAAGGGTTTGGACTTCAGTATAAGTTTTCATAATATAGAGAAAGTTAGTATCATAAAGACAAAATGTAAGGAAGAGCAAAATATTTTACTCAATTATTTTTCCTTATTCATTTTTTCTTGACAACAAAAGTCAAAGTCTCCCTTTTGAAAGTAAAGGGATCAAAGCTCCTGTTATTTTTCCTTATTCATTTTTTCTTGACAACAAAAGTCAAAGTCTCCCTTTTGAAAGTAAAGGGATCAAAGCTCCTGTGAAAATTTTGCCAAGTAATGACAACTACCGTGTTTTTCTCCATCAACGTAGTCTGTTTTTCTCCCCATTAATTTATTTTTCTAATATAATCTTTATTATAATAGTATTTCTATCCAGTACACTTGATTAATAAGGATATTTTAAGAAAAAACACCTATTTATTACAAATAACTAACTTAACTAGTTTTTTTAATATACTCAAATTATTCAATTAGTTTTTATATTAAGGGCGGAGGTATTATAAAATATGTATGAATAGTTTGACCCGTGAATATATTTTGCCTTGTTGAGGGAGATCTGAACATTGTGAGACCAGAACTAGAAAGATTTTAGTTGACTCGTAACTCTATAATGTAATAACCATAAGGCTTATGCTCAAATAAATTTTCCTCATTCATTTTCTCTTGAGAACAAAAGTCAAAGTCTCCACTCTAAAAGTAAAGGGATCAAAGCTCCTGTGGAAAATTTGCTAGGTAATGACAGCTATCTTATGTTCCCCCAACAACCCAATCAGTTTTTCTCTCCAATAATTTATTTTAATTGTTATAGACAAATATTTAAAACTTTAATATATCATTGTAAATCAAACAACAAACTTGAGTGTTGACACTTGCTTACAACTCGAAATATGCATATATCAATATTTCTGGTCCATCCACATGCCATTAATTCATAGTGAGACATAGAGATACTGTAAATGTACACTTGTCATAAAAATTTACATTTTATATTGATGGGAGTGGTTTTGATACTTGAAAATAAGTTGGTTTAATTTAAACATCTCAAGAAATTGCTAGGAAATAGCTAGTGAGTTGTTATCAATCCTTTTCTATGATACCTTTTCTTTGCTCGAATTTTCTTCGGTAAACTCAGAGTGTCCCTTACGAAACCAATAATTGGACAAAGGTATTTAATTTCTTGATGACAAGTACTATTTTCTCCAATGCTTTTTTTGGTTTTTCTTGAATCCATTTTGTTTCGTTTCTTGCATTAAGGTCTCGTACAAAATTTTTAATTCTCCATAAACATTTTCTTATAATAGTTGAATGGAGCTTTCCACGAAATTGCATCAATTTGAAATTAGAGCATAGATTATGATTAATCCTGAAGCCTGAGACGGATACTTTTATCTGACATGTGGAAATTAAATTAGAGTGAAAATGGTGGTTTGTTGTTGAATGTTCACCATGGAGATTTGGCCATTCATTTTGAGGAATCAGACTATACCTTTTTTTTTTTTGGGTAAAGAATCAGACTATACTTTTCTTTGCCACTTTTTCCTACAAGTTTTCTGAATAGAGTGAAAGTCATAGTTGAGAAAAGTCCAGGTATGATTTTTATTTTCGCCAAAGAGTACGGGTGTGATTGACAAGAAACCATCAATTTAAAATGAAATTTTAATTTACAAGTTGAAAATAATAAAAAAATTAAAATGTTGTTTCCTTCAAAATAACTAAGATACAATAGTTTTTTTTTTTTTTACCAGCAACTCAGATACAATAGTTAAACGAGAAGTTTGGTGCATAATTAATACACCAAATATCTTTTCTTTTTATAATCTATATAAACCATTTATATCAACATGATCCGTGAAGCTACAAGGAGAGAATGATCCGTGAAGTTTGGTGCATAATTAATACACCAAATATCTTTTTTTTTTAATAATCTATATAAACCATTTATATCAACATGATCCGTGAAGCTATGAGGAGAGAATGGCCTAAAAATACATTAAAATAATGAAAAGATATTTTAATAATTCTACTTCAATTTCTGTGCATAGCATGGGTCATATGAGTTCTTGAAAGAACAGATTAAAGGGCCATGAAATAAAACTACGGTCTTAAGAAAATCAAGATCCAACTTTAAAGTTTGATCTTTATGAACTAGCATTCATATTATTTATTGAAGCGGAGAAGCGAAATGCAGCTAAAAGTTTTTTTTAAAGTAACATAACATAAAAAATTAGATAAATGTTTTAATTTTTAAAATTAGTTTCCAAAGTTTATGCAAAAATTTGATCCTCCGGGAAACATTGATCTTTTGAATCCCTAGAAAAATTGTATAAAATACATTATTCTTTTCTCTTGAAAGATCAAGTTTAATTATATGAGAAAATAAATACAAGTTGGTCCGTAAAATAAATTTTGGATAACTCAACATGTGAGTGGCAACGACTTCTGTGTCTTAAGTATGCAGTTCGGAATTCGATTCTCAACCATTATATATGAAGTTGTAGAAGTTATTTGGGGATAATTAATTTTTGTTATGGACAGAAAATACTTCTTATCCATAGAAAAATGTATTTTAGCCAAATATAATTTAAATTTATAAAATAGTACTTTCAACCTATTTTGAAATTATAGTCGCATACCTTTTTTTAATAAAACTAAGGACATATTATGAAAAGAAAAAAAAAAATTTTGCCAGTTGAAAATAAAGATTTAACGTCATATAAGCACGGCTACGATGAAATAAGGATTTAAAAATTAAAAAAAAAGAAAGTCATCTCACTCGCTAAGAATATTAAGAACGCATCCAATTTAAGTAAACTAGTATTGTAGACTATGAAAGTGGCAAAATGGTATTTCTTCTTTTAAATTAATTAGATTTAAGATCACATTTCCACCGTTTTGAAATGCCGCCAATAAATTAAGAGATCGATTTTTTTTTTGGCTTCTGAATTAAATGATGAATTTCAACTTTTAATTGGAAATGAAGATAAGCATGAATAACAAAAATCCTCATACTATATTTGTTTGTGTGTGTCTGTGTGATAAAATGTTTAGTTACAAAAGACAGTACTACCTTCTTTCCTAACTATAAAACTTTGTTTGTAGGATTAGAGGTTGTATTTTTGTCCTAGCAAAACAATAATGTATTGAAAGAGCACAATATCCAAAACCAGCAAAATTCTCAATATTATGAGCCCCGAGAAAATATTGTCATTTATTTTTGTTGAAATAATATCTTCTGATGACTTTTCTTCATCAGAAAAGTGTACAAGTTATTAGCTAGTTATGTTATTTTCGAAACTCTCGGTATATCAAAGCCTATATCTAGTTATGTTATTTTTTCTGGTAATTATCTAGTTATATTATGATTAATACTACTTCCGATTCTAATTATAAAATTCTGTTTACAGACTACAAGCAAAGTCTTATAATTAGGATTGAAGTTAGTATCATATAACATTTTATAAAATATCAAATTATGCGACTTACTTATAGATAGTATTTTTAAGGATGTGTATGTAATTTTGCAAGTGATTGAAGGTTTTGAAATCAAATTATTTATCTCAACCGGGCCAAACAAAAATATTTATATCTAAATATTTCTTCTCGTAGAATATGCATGTTAATTTTAGGCGTAGCTAAATCTTTCCTACCCGTCTATTAAGCTACGCGGCGAATAAACAATCATGATTATTTATCTATGGTTTGCATATCGAATGCAGTTCAGCTCACAATATCCCCAGTTATAAAGGAATTTGGATATAATATAAGAGCATATATATTTTAATTGTTCATTTAAAAGTTGAATAGTTTAAATCGTAATCTGATTTATTCTCAATATTTTAATTGCCTTTTGTTTTCACACCAAATTTACAAATAAACATAATTTTCATAAATTATGATTTATTTAAAGTGAGACTTTAATGTACAATATATATATTCCTCCGGTCCTAAATATAAGACTCTTTTTATAGTGTAAAATTATACTATAAAAATGGTCTTATATTTATATTTAGGACCAGAGGAGTGTGTGTGTGTCTCTATAATCTAGGATGGTCGTGAAGCTTCTTGGAAAATCAGTGAGGGAATATACTTGTCTTTTTTTTTCATTTGAGGGAGATTTCTACATTGTGAAGGCAAAAGGAGGAAGACTTTAATTGACTCGTAATTTTATAATATAACAATCATAAATCTTTTGTTGAAAATAAAAATTTACCAGTCACAAGAGCATGGTTACAATAAGATAAAGATTTAAAATTAAAAAATATGGAATCGTTTAACTCGCTGCGCTAAGAATTAACATTGAGACGCATCTAATTTAAATAATCTAATATTGGAAATAACCACAATATTATTAGCTGCAATTAGGACTTGCGATTTGATAGAATGATTGGGGTTGCGCGCGACAGGAGACAAAATATATATGAAAACCGCAAAATGGGTGCTAAAAATAAGAAGGGAATTTTTTAGTAATTTAAAATCTTTTAAAATGTTTAGATTTAAGATCATATTTACATAGTTTTGAAATGCCATCAATAAATTAAACGAGTTTTTTTTTTGGGGCTCCTCTATTAAATGATGAATTCCACCTTTCAATTGCGAGTGTTTTGTGTGCAAGAATGTTTTGTTAGAAAAGAGAGCATTTTTGTCCAAGCAAAGTAATATCTTACAAGAGCACACTATCAGACACCAACAAAAATGCTCAATATTATGGACTCCGAAAACATTGTGCATTCATTTTTGAATTTTTATCTTTTTTTCCAAAAAAAAAAGAGGTTCTTGAAATAACGCGTTCTCGGCACATCTACTCTGACTTCTCTTCATCAGAAAGTGTACCAGTGATCCATCAAAGTACAACCCCACAATGAACTCTATAAAAATTCTATGTACCACCCACATTTTACTCCTCACAACATCTCATGAGCAGAGAAAAATAAACAAAAAGAAACTATAGTTATCCAAGAACTGTGTATTTTAATCCTCTCTAGTTGTTTCACTTTTGAACTTGTATTAAAGCTATTTCATCACTGTGATGGCTTGTGTGTTCAATTTTTTGTATGCATTATTGACATTGCTATTGTTGCTGCATACAAGACTCAGTTTAGCCACTGATGGTGAAGCACTGAAGAAGTGCATCAAGAAGGAGAGGAAAGCTCTTCTGTTGTTCAAACAAGGCATTTATGTTGACTATGGTATGCAGTCCACATGGAGGGACGGAGATGATGAAGATTGTTGCAATTGGAAAGGAGTTCATTGTAGCAACCAAACAGGTCACGTTCAAATTCTTGATCTTCATGGTTTAGATTCACCTTTTTCAAGAGGTATAATTAATATTACTTTGTTGAGAGAGTTGCATGAACTGAAACATTTGGATCTCAGTTACGATAATGTCAACCCAAGTGACATCCCTCAGTCCATAGAGTCCTTCACCAACTTAAGGTATCTCAACCTCTCTAATTCTTATTTTGTTGGTAGTATTCCCATTCAATTGGGAAAGCTTCCAAACTTACAATATGTTGATCTGAGTAACAATTACTTAGATGGAGCTATCCCTTGCCAAATCGAAAATCTTTCTAAGTTGCAGTACCTTAATCTTGGAGGAAATTATCTTGTTGGAGTGATTCCTTATCAACTTGGGAATCTCTCCAAGCTCCATACTTTGCGACTCGGTGGTGATTCTTCTAACCTCATAGTATTCGACAAAAACAATGGTGATGCAGAGTGGATATCAAACCTCTCTTTATTAACAAATATTCTTGAGTTGAGTTATGTAAGTGATGTTGGCAATTCTCAGGTGTGGCAGCACATAATTGGTAAACTTGTGCCGAAACTAATAGGATTGAGACTAAGAGGATGTGGCATTTCTCGTGTGCATAACCTTCTTCTGTCTACTTCTCCTTCCAACTATTCTTATTCTCTTGTCACCCTTGATCTCTCTTCTAATAACTTGAACCCATCATTATTTCAATGGCCCTTCAACTTCAGCTCCAGCCTTCAACAGCTTTATCTAAGCAATTGTAATCTTTCATCTCATAATCTCTACTTTCTATCTTCTCATTTTTATTTTCCTTCCCTCATTGTTCTTGATCTCTCTTATATAACTGGACCTCAGTAACGACATTGAACTTTGGCTCAAATCTTCAAGCACTTTATTTGAGAGATTGTGGCCTTACATCAAATAATCTTATCTTCACATCCTTCAATCCCAACTTTTCCTCTCTTGTCCGTCTTGATCTCTCTTACAATCAGTTGACATCATCAACCATATTCTATTGGATTTCCAACTTCACCTTCAATCTTCATGAACTAGACTTTAGTTACAATTCGCACAGCAGTTCCATTCTTGATGGTTTTGGAAATGTAATGAAGTCTCTTGAAGTTCTTGATCTCTTCAATAATAATCTCCAAGGTGAAGTCCCAACATCACTAGGAAATATATGCACATTGAAGAGCTTAACATTTAGCTACAATAATTTCAGTGGGGACCTTCTGAGATTCATTTCTAATATATCATCGTGCAATAGACATTCATTACAGAGTTTGGATTTATCGAAGAAGGAGAATAATAGTGCCCCTCCTCCACCGGATCACAACTCCCCGATGACAAAGGAATCTTCAACAGCCACGCAGGCTAGAAGCGAATCTGAGGGAGGGATTTACGGCCCCCATATGATTGTAAAGGGGGATTTTAGCAAGAGAATATTCAAATCTGATTTGAAGAATATCAACATGGATATCATGGTTAAAAAATCTCCAAGCTTGCAAAATGGGTCTCAAAATCAGTTAGGGACACATGTCATGAAGGATAATGAAGGAAAGGATAATGATGGGGAAAACTTCAAGGGTGGAGCCACAATATTTGGAGTTGAAAGTATTATTAAGAATAAGGAGAGAGAATGGAGTTCGATGGGACCTAGGAAGAAAGTCACAGGAAAGAGAAGATTACGTGGCAAGGATAATATTCCTAAAATGAAATAGCAAGTCAAAGGAAAATGGAAAAGTGACAGCACACAAGAATTTTTAAACCATTTTTCTGCGCTACTAAATGGGCCTCCTCTAGAGAATAGGTCCTCAGATACCTCACAACCCAATGATGCTGGGCCACCTTTGCAAGCAATGGATCATGAGCATCAAGTGGTGAAAGGAGACACGACTAACACAGAAAATATGAGTGACGAGGTTGTTCCTACCAACACGACTACTGAATCTCAGATGATGGATCTAAATGTGACTAATGTTTTGGTTGGAAAAAATGTTTATGTTAGTATAAAAGAGACTCTAAAGAGCTCTACAGCTCAACACCCCTTACTAATTCCCAATGAATTTTCTTTTTTGGAATAGTAGAGGTACATGATCTAAATCTTTTTTGGGTCTTGTACGAGAACTAGTTAGGAGACATAATATTGACTTCCTCGCTATTTTAGAAACTCGAGCTCAGTCTGATAAAGCTCATATTATCTCAAGGAGGTTGGGTTTTGATAACATCTAAATTGTGATTGCCAATGGATTTAGTGGTGGAATTTAGGTTCTTTGGAAAAATGGATCGTGGAAGGTTGAGGTTCTCAAGACTCATGAACAATTTATACACCTAAGCCTTGACAATGGAACTCATAAGTCTTTTCTTACTGCTGTTTATGCCAGCCCAAATCCTATAAAAAGAAGAGTGGCCTAGAATGAGCTTTGAAATATCAGTAAGCGCATTGGTGGGAATTTCAATGGGACTTTATATTTGCATGATCGTTGTTCTACTTCTCGTGTTGGTAGCTATATTGATTGAGAATTCTGTAAGTGGGTGGACGACTTGACTCTTACTGATATAGGATGCAGTGGGCCTTATTTCACTTGGAGAAGAGCGAGGTGTGAAAGTCGACTTGATCGTGTTCTTGTTAATTCTAAATTTTTTGATTGAGAATTCTGTAAGTGGGTAGATGACTTGACTCTTACTGATATAGGATGTAGTGGGCCTTATTTTAGTTGGAGAAGAGCGAGGTGTGAAAGTCGACTTGATCATGCTCTTGTTAATTCTAAATTTTTTCAGCTACACCCTAGGCATCAGTTATCCACTTGCCTTTTTTTAAGTCTGATCACCGACCTTTATTGTTAAAACTTGAGAACGATACAAATAAAAGCAACAGGCCAGAAAATTTGTTCAAGTTCTTTGCATCTTGGGTCATGCATGAGAACTTCAAAAGCCTTGTTACTAACACGTGGCATGTGGACACAACTTGGCTGGAGAACGTTGATCATTTCCAATTTGAAGTTTTAATTTGGAGTCATGAGGTTTTCAGTCATTTAGGGCATAAGAAAAGACATCTTTTCAACTGGTTAGAAGGTCTTAATAAAATTTCCCATTCGTGCTGTAATCAAGCTTCCATGGACCTGCTGATTCAACAAAATATGGAATGAACTTGAGGAAATTTTAATTCAAGAAGATCTTCTTTGGGCTCAAAAAGCAAAATATGACTGGTACATGCTAAGGGACAAAAACTCTAAGTATTTCCACGAGAGTTACCAGAAGACGCAGAAATAAGATTGATGCTCTTAAGAATGATAATGATGACTGGATTTACAACAAAGAAGAAATTAAAGGTATAGCTTTAACTTTTTACCAAAACCTCTTTAGTATTGATGGTCATGCCTCCCTTGATTCCATTAGAGGTTTCTCCTTTCCTTTAATGGAAGAGGCACACTTGAACATTTTGAGAAGTAAAGTAACAGGAGAGGAAATTAAATAGGCTATTTTTAGCATGGGTGCTCTCAAATCACCAGGCCCAGATGGGTTGAATGCTTTATCTTTCAAAGTCAGTGGGAGCATATTGGCCCTTCTGTTGTCAATTTTGCGCAAGATGTGTTTGATAATCCCTCCCTAATTGAAGAGATAACAAAATGTTTATTGTACTCATCCCCAAAAAGATCAACCTGAAACTATAAGGGATTTTCATCCTATAAGTTTGTGTAATGTGATTTATAAAGCTATTACTAAAGTGGTGGCTAATAGAATCAAAGGGATCTTGCCTACTATCATTTCTCCTAATCAATGTGGTTTTGTACCGGGAAAGCTAGGATCTAATAATGTGATCATTACTTAGGAAGTCATACATTCTATGCGAAACATGAAGGGTAAGAAAGGCTTCATAACAATTAAAATTGACTTTGAGAAAGCCTATGATCACCTCCAATGGGATTTTATTATGGATTTCCTTAAGGAAATTAATATCCCCTCTGATCTTTTGAATGTTATTAATCGATGTATTTCTTCTCCTGTGATGCAAATTGTCTGGGAAGGAAGTGAGACCCAATAGTTTTCCCCCTCTCGTGGCATCAGACAAAGTGATCCTCTTTCTCAGTATCTCTTTGTTATTTGTATGGAAAAACTTGCTCATTTGATACAGGAAGAGATTCATCTCAAGAAGTGGAAACCAATCAGGCTCAATAAGGATGGCCCACCAATTTCTCATCCTTTCTTCTCAAATGACCTTATCTTGTTTACTGAGGCTTCTATAGAGCAAGCAGGTGGAATTAAAAGGTATTTGGATGCCTTCTGTAATGCTTCTGGACAAAAAGTGAGCCAAAGTAAGACATGGGTTTTCTTTTCTAGTAATATCAATCATACTCATACTACTCAGCTGAGTGAGAAGTTGGGGTTCTGCAGTACTCTTGACCTTGGAAAATATTTAGGGGTCCCTCTTCATCATGAACGAGTAAAGAAAAGTACTTATCAGTGTGTTGTTGATAAGGTTAGATCAAGACTCTCTAACTGGAAGGCCAACGCTATTTCATTCACTGGTTGGCACACTCTTGTTTCCTCAGTGGTACAAGATATTCCTTTATACCTCATGCAAACTAGTGCCTTACCTTTGGGCACTTGCGACGAACTTGAAAAGAGTGCTAGAGGTTTCCTTTGGGGTTCTAGTGATGAGCAAAAACACATACACCTTGTATCGTGGAATGAGGTTTGCAAGGATAAGAAGAAGAGAGGCTTGGGTATTCAATACTTGAGACTGCAAAATAGTATTTTTCATTATGAAAGCTGGCTGGGGATTAATGTAAACAAAAAGATGCTCTCTGGTGTAAGGTTATCTGAAGTAAATACCAATGTGGGAATGATTTAATTCCTACAATTGATAGTTCCCGCCATGGTTCAAGAGTTTAGAAAGGGATTCGTGATAATTGGGATCATGTTTTTCAAGGATCTGAATGAGTTGTTAATAGTAGGGGAGAGGAGGACATTTGATGGAAATTTGAAAAGCACGGAAATTTTACTCTCAAATCAGCATATAACGTGCTATAAGGAGATTGGTCTCTTGCAAACTCGATCTGGTAAAAGCTCTGGAGATTGAATATTCCCCAACATTGTAAGCTTTTTATGTGGCTCACTCTCCATAATAAGCTCTTGACTAATGAAGCTTGTCTTAGACGAAGTATTAATGTCTCGGTAGAATGTACTTGGTGTAAGCATGACTTAGAAGATGCTCTTCATGCTCTCTGTGACTGTCCAAAAGTCAAATCAATATGGCTCTCACTGATTAAACCCAGCTTTGTTGATAAATTTTTCAGCTGTAATATTTGGGACTGGTGCTACATGAATATAAAAGATACATTTGGTAGAGAAAGAGAGCAGTGGTAGGAGCTCTTTGTTATCGTTTGTTGGCTTGTTTGGAGGCGTAGAAATTAAAAAAAATTTTGAACACAAAAGTAGCCAGGTGCATGGAATTATCAGCAAGGCAAAGGTTGTCCTTCTAAGCTATGGAAAGGCCAGACTTTAATTACAAAAATTGAATATAAAGGGAGCGCAAAGTTCTCATGAGACGCAGTGTAAGCGAAGTATAGAAGGTGGGATAATAGTCTGAGTTGATGGTACCTTCTCACATATAATTGGGAAAGCAGCTTGTAGCGGACTCATCAGGAATAGTGAAGGTAACGTAATGGAAGCCTTTATGCTAAATATTAATGGTGGAGATCTTTTAGTTGCAGAAATTTGGGCATGTTTGATAGGACTTAAACGAGCATGGGAAGGGAGGCATAGAAAAGTCTCCCTATTAAGTGACTCTTTGGAAGCTATTTAGCTTATAAAGGGAGGAGCCACTGAAATTCATGAGAATTGGAACCTAATCCAAGAAGTTAGCAACCTGCTCCAGCGACAATAGATGGCTGAACTTTGTCACATTCGAAGAGAAGAAAATATAGCTGACTCTTTAGTTAAGCGTGTTCTTAGCTTACCTCGAGGGCTCTATTTTCCTTACCCTGATGACATATGTAATTTTATTTCTTGCCAAGTAGCGTAGCTGTGTTTTTTTATTCCCTCTTTATCAAAAAAAAAAGAGGGGCATTATTGTAATCTTACTGTTAATTTTAATTTCAGTTTGGTCTTTTGGTCCTATAGTGACATTTTAGAATGTTTCGGGAGCTATTTGAAATAAATTATTAACTGCTATCCTTAATCAAAATTTTCCCTTTTCTTTTCCTCTTGTATCGAGAATTTTACTCACTTTTTTGCCACCCACTCCTCAAATATCGTGCCAAATTCTCCGTGTCCTTATTATTATTATTATTATTTCCTTCATTATTTTTTTTTTTGAGAAAATTGCATACAAGTACCTGTTCATAAAAATTGTTACCATTTGTTCATCAATTATTGTCAAAACCAATACTAATATTGTAACGGGTCCTTGTTTATAATTTTTCTATTTGAAGTTTTTTTACAATTTTTTCTTATTTTTTCCTAACAATTCCCTTCATTATTATTTACTTATATTCATAACTTTTTTTGTATGGAAATACCCTCTTTATTTCGTATTACAAGCCTTTTTTAACTTGCATTTCTGGTTTTTTTTTGTTACAAAAATGTGTATTTATTGATTAACTTACCCATTTTGGGCCTCATATTTTCATCTTTTTAGATATTTTCACCATTATTTCTATCGTTAAGTCGGTTAATTTAATCAAGAAAGACATAGATTAAATAAGAAATTAATAAT